CCCCAGCTGTCATATGAACAAGCCTAGGCTAGTCTGCTGGAAAATAGGAGACACACAGCCCGTCTATTCCCCATCACCCCAGCCAACAGCCAGCCAACCCCAGAAGCAGAACTGCCTAATTGGCCAACAGCTGGCAGCAAACATATAAGTGAGTTCAGCTGAGACCAATCGAACCACCTAATTTGCCAATTCACAGAATTGGTGGTTGTTTTAAGCTACTGTGTTTTGAGGGAGTGTTGTTATGAAGCAACAGCTGGCTGACACAGAAGGTCACTCAGAAACTTTGCATGAAGCAAGGGGAGAGAATAAGTGGCTTCTGAGAATGTCCAAGGAAGGCAGGTGACGTGGGGCAAAGAGATCATTCAAGCAAGGCAACACCAACCTATGCCCAGGTCCATCTGGGGCTCTGGCTCCTGTCTGGGACTCCACTCACCAGCCATCACCCCTCAGGGAGCCCCACAGAGTTGAATTTACAGACAGAAAAGACTCACAGGGGCCCTATGGTGCCCCTTCTAAAATGACTCCCTCAGTCCCCTCCCAGGGAATGGAAGAGAGGTTCAGTAATGTCCAAAGTGAGAGGGCTGTGATACACCCCACACTCCTCCAAAACCTCAGGTGCAGGACTAGGAATGGGATGGAGCTGAGGAAGTATCTGGGGGACAAGACAGGGAAGAGAGAGGAAGGAAAGAAGGTCTCAAGGATTTTGTTTGCTTTACAGGGGCCAGGCTTCAGGGAAGTGGACTCGGTCTGAAATATAGGGTCCCTGAGTCCAGGCTCTGGCCCAGCAGTCACTGTCGTCTGCAGAGCTGAGTCTGGTGATGTGCATGTAGCACACACCCCCAGGCTCCTGGGACAGAGGCATCCCACAGTGCCCAATGCTCGCTCAGCCTCTCCTGGTGACAGGAGGTCAGTGACTATGTGACCTTTGCACCTTGAACTGATGGTGTGAAGGAGAGACTGTTCCATGACATGACTGCTTCCTGACCGTGCTGCCAGATCCTCTGGGTCAGAACAGAGATTGCGTCCTATAAATCCCCTCAGTGACTGTCTGATCACCCCTCTCCTATGTCCCAGGCATGCTGGTTCCTGGAGCAGGCTCTTGCCTTTCCCCAGGCAAGCATGTAAGGTGTTTCCCCTTATTTGTGGCAGGTCACACCCTGGTCCCCTATCCATCCTGCCCATCCTATATAACCCTTTAACGCCCACCACATGGTATGGTGGCTATCCACTTGGTCTTGCTGCTGCCCAAGATGTGCCTTGTATATAAGTTCCCTTAGTAAAATCTGGTAATGATGGAGTTGTCAGCCTCTTTCTTTGGTCTCTCAGACCCAGGAAGTTTTACATAACAGATGGATTCTTGGGCTGGCATGACCCCCAGCCTTAAGGAACAGGGACATCATTGGACAAATTCTGATGAGGCTCTGGGGTCCTGGAGTGGGTAGGGTGGACATAACTCAGGGAAGAAACTTGCAAGCTGCCTGAAGGTGCAGGTCAGCTGACTTGCTGGCTCTGCCCCTGGAAGTCCAAGTGCCTGGAGTGGCTGTCAGTGGCCACCTGTCTTTAAGTACCCTCATCTCACGATCCCCCTCTCACCAGAGATGGGATCTTGGCTTCTGGGCTTGACCTGTTGAAAATAAAGTGGGGGAGCAGTCATCCCCTGAGAACTGGGACCTCAAGAGACACCCCTGTTGTGCTTCAGTGAGGACAGATGACCCAAGAAGAGGCACAACTTCTCCCTCCCCTGCTCCAGAGGCTTCCAGCACCTTCCAGCATATGACAACAGCATCTCCATGTGGTCATATCTCAGAGCCCGAGCTCAGAAACCCGAGTGTAGGGAACAGTGAGTTGAGGGACAACTGAGAGGCAGTGGGAGGTGGAGGCCCCCACAGCAGGGTCCCCACCTACCTTGGGGTGCAGGTAGGGCCACGGTGGCTATTGGGCCCTGGCAGAGATCTCAGTGTCTAGAAGCAATGGGTAGAGAATGAGTGTTGTGAACACAGTTGGCAGTGGTCCCTGGGGTGGGTAGGGCACTGGGGACTAAAGATGGCTGGATGCTAAGTGGAGAGGAGGGGGCCCAAGAGTCCATCCCTTCACTTCCCTCCTCATCTCCCCCTGCACCTCACTCACCGGGGGGTGGAGGCTCTTCAGTGGTCATCGGGCCCAACTCGAGGGGGTGAACACTGCCCCGGGGGTGGTCCCTGCATGGGCCATCTTTGGGCCTGAGAAGCAAGATAAGAGGCCAGGAGGTTGGAACAGTGATGCTGAGCAGGACACTCTGGGCTACTTTCCTGCAGCCGGCCACACGTGCCAAGCCCAAGTTTTTCATTGTGATCTGCCTTCTGTGTTGACTGAGTCTGCACCCTTCTGCTCCAGGTCACTCTCTCTAACTCACTTCCTGCTCCCTTCTTAGAGGAGCCCTTGGGGTCCAGGCTATAGTTTAGACTCAGGCCCTCCCAGGGGTGCAGGAACTTTCTCTCTCCAGCCCTGACATTTCTCCCATGCTCCAGCACCAGTCCAGCATCCTGGCACCCTCCAGATGTTGGCATCACTCAGGTCCCAAAGACTTCCTCCTTAGTGGCAGCCGTGCCTGCACTCCTTGCCATTGGGTGGCCCTGCTGCCCTCGATGACTCCATGCTATGCTTGGCTGCTGATGTCCCATCTCCCAGGGCCTGCCACTGCCTGCCATTTCCTTTCATGTCTTTTCAGAACAGTCTTCACTACCCTCAAGGCTCTGCCCTGGAGAAGACACGCAGTCACCGCCCCCCTGAAAGGCCCCTCATGCTGACACACCAAGCTCTAAGCACCTTGCACCTCTGCCCACCAACCTGCAATCACCGCTTATTGTGTCAAGGCCCTCTCACCTGGCACCTGGAACCTGGATGATGCCCACCCGTCAGAGATGCCCTCTGTCCCTATATCCAGCCCAAACCCTTTCCTTCACCTTGTCCTAGGCACTCCCAAGGCCAGGCTGTGTCAGATGTGACCATAAGGTGCCTGCCTTGCCCAGTGCTCAGTGACGGGGAAGCCCTAGGTCATCCATGCTTGGTATTATGGGACCCTCCTGCCAGGTCACGAAGAGCTGCATTAGGGGCAGGGCAATGGCACAAGGGCAGCTGGCGCTATAGCTAACCAGTGGTATGGACTGGAACAATGTGCCGGCCCATCATTTGGGAATTCGAAGGAGGTAACAGCAGAGATTTAGGCAGAGGAAATGACAGAGGGCCGAAAGCTCATGAGGAAGACGCTGGAGAGGCCTTGAAGGGCACAGTGGTGAAGGAGCTGCATTATGAGCTGGCAGAAAACAGGGCAAAGTCAAAGATGAGGCAGCACCCTGGTAGGAGAAACAGGAGGATGGACACAAAGGGACCAAACCCCAGCAGTGGGGAAGGGTAGAGGGCCCTGCACGGCTCCACACCCTTGGCCCCTGGTGACTCCTGCTCAAGGTTTCTTTCCACTACCTGAGCTGCCTCTCTGCACCTGGGGACAATGCCTGAGGACCCCACCCCAGCTGCCCCAGGCCCAGCAGAACTGAGAGGCAGGAGCCACGGGAATGGGCTCAGGGAGCAGGGTCCTCAGAGCCTACCCACTGTCCCTCCTTGAGCCGCACAGGTGCTGCTGAAGATGGGATCCCCGCTGCCGGTAGCAGCACCAGGCCAGGCCGGCCCCAGGAAGCAGAGGCAGCAGGAAACTAAAGATCACTGCCAGCAGGAAGGCACAGTGGTCTGCGAAGGACAGGGCGGGGCTGAGTCCTGAGCAGGCGCCACACCGCCTGTTCCCCCGCCCCTAACGCGCGCACTTCCAGGCTGCACCGGGCCGCTGTCCATGCTCCCACCCAGCCCTGGCTTGTCACAGGAGGGTGGAGCCCAGCCAGGATCACAGTGGCAGTTACGGTTACTATTGCAAACCTGCAGAGGAAGAGGAAAGGAGGGTCCCATGGGATGAGGGACCTCAAGGTCACCCCCCCACACACAGTCAAGACCACTCACCCCATGGCCATGGCAGGCGGCCAGGCAGCGCTCCAGCTCCTGAAAGGTAGTGTTCCGGCAGCGCCTGTCCTGGCACACCTATGGGCAGTGGTGTGCACTGAGCACTGCTGGGGAGTGATGCTTTGGTCCTAGGGACTCAAGGGGCAGGGAGGAGCCGGGTGGGCAGCGCTCACCATTGTAGGTGCACACTGGGTGCCTGGCTCTACCAGGCCCAAGTCAGGCAGGTCCAGCTGGGCACTGGGTAGCAGGAAGGCTCCCCTGCAGGTCACCTCCCGGCCCTCCAGGTGGAGGGTAGAGTCCACCGGCATCGTGTGTGGTGCCAGTGGGCTCTGCTCCCCTCCCTGACACTGCAGCCTCCCACACTGCGCATCCCTGGGAACCAAGCGCAGGGTGGTCAGACAGCACAGAGTGTCCCCTCGGCCCCAGCCCACTCCCCAGCTTCGGCTCCCTCGGCTCCTCTCCCCACCTCTGCGTACAAGGCACGTAGGCGCCCCCTTCATCCCGGCCGCAGTTGCCCCGGGAGTCTCCCGCTGAGTTCGCCAGGTGGAAACAAGCCTCTGGGGCTGGGCTGGAGCCTGGGGGAGCATGGGCGGGGCTGGGGACCACGCTCCCCCCGCCCTCGGTGCCCCGCCCATCTTTCCTAGAATAGAAAATTCCTCAGACCCAAGGATGGGGACCGGGCGCAAGGCCGCGCGTCTTCTCACCAGGTCCCCAGAGCTGCTGGCACTGCTGCTCGAGCGTGGGACACGCGCCGTCTCGGCAGTAGCCGCGGCCGCTGGCGCAGGGCGAGCCATCCAGCAGGTAAACGTCTGGGGGACAGGAGGGAGAGGCGCCCGTGCAGAACTCGGGGAGGTCGCAGTCCCCCGCAGCCCGCCGGCACGGCGCGCCCGCCGGCCTCAGCTATGCAGGCGACCCGCGTGGCAGGAGAGCGGCCGAGACACAAAGAGACAGTGGACGTGAGAGACCCGCGCTGACAGCGAGGCTCAGAGCCGGACAGCCCGGCGGGAAAGCGAGGTGGGACCCGAGGACGCCGGTCAGCCGGGACAGACGGCCTGCGCCACGACACCCCGCCCCCCGCGCTCCGAGCCCCGCGCTCACCAGGCAGCTCGCGCAGCAGTCCCCGTGGGAGCACTGGGCCCCCTCGCGCAGTGAGCAGTTGTGGGAGAAGCAGCAGGGGTCGGAGCACTCCTGGAGCGGAGAAGGCGAGAAGGGACCCGGTGAGGGAGCAGAGCACGGGCCTGGGGGGGGAGGGCAGCGCCCGCCTTGGCCTGGGGGCCCGGCGGGGACCTAACCTGGCCGGCGCCGCAGTCGCACTCCTCGCCCTGCTCCACGAAGCCGTTGCCGC